CCATCGGCACACGCAGAGTGCCTATCTATGTAGTGTATACTGAAAAAATATATATATATATGCATACTCATATATGTTTATATTTGCACTCGTATGTATAGGTGTATATATATATATATAATGTATATAATATATATACCTATAGATGTAGTGTACCTAATATATCTTATAGGTGCCTCCAGTGTATGCGTCGACCGGCTCTGAGGACTTCGAAGGTCGATGATCTATCGTGACGGGACATTCGTATACATATATTTAATATCATCGTTATTATTAATATATTATTATGATATTGTGCACACACATCAGAGAAACGCTGCCGACGAGACGGGAATATCAAACAAAAGAACATTATAACACGTCCGATCGACGACACGATGACGACGACAAAGTATATACGACGAACGAGCGACCGAGCATTGCGTGTGATGGTACCCGAGCAACAGTGTGACATCTTATGGCAGTTTGAATGTTCTAAATGTTTTAATATTATTGTTTATTTGTTTGTACGATAATAATATAGGTATTATATTATGCACTCGGGAGAAAAATAAAATGAAATAAGAATATTTAATATTTATGAAATGTTGATATTATATATTGCAGGCAAGTATATTTACGAAAACATAATCTTTTTCGGAGTGTCACTTTTGGGCGAATCTAAAATTGTCTTGAGTGGAGTATCCGACTATTTGAGTGTACTCGTATATCAATTGAGCATTTGGTCAAGAAATCAACTGATCGTTTGCTGGGTGAACTTTTTTTTTGTAAATACACCAAACGACCTACCTAAACGTCCTAAACATCCCAAAGTCTACAGGATTGGATCAAATAACGAGTACTCCTATAGCACAATACGAGTGAAAAGAAAATCAAATATAGATTTAAAATAAATCAAGTTGAATTATATGTTTAATTTTACACGCTAAACAGGGTGACAAAATCATCTATTCCGTTGTATCTATTAAACAGTGTTCAACAATGTTTTTTTCCCACCTAGCCGAATACCCCGCAGAGGCCTAAAAGTAGCGTATAAACATATCATTTTTAAGGATGAACTACAATTATTTTTTATAGGTTTATTAAGAAAAAAAATATACTAATACAATTAACATGTTAAGCTAATCTTAAATTGTTGTATGGTTCTAAAAATGGAAAGGAACTTATTGCATAGACATATTAATTATTAGGTGTTTTTGGCCAAACGATATATTATACACATAATAATCTCGCCCAAATGATTTGATCAAATCAAAAAGCTATTTGATTTTTGGTCATTCACAATATTGAAGACCACCTGTTTTTTAACCTCCGTCCAGGTTCCATAGTCAGCAAACCAGGCACCAGGACTACAGAAATATTTATACAATTTTGATATAATAAAGTATTTGATACAATTTCGTTCGAATGTTGACACTCAATACGTCTAATAATTCAAGTATAGCTGAAAACCTGTTCAAGAATATTTAAGAATGGTTTAAAGGTTTATCAGTTGTAATAATTCAGCTTTGCCAGTTCATTTGTCAAAAAATACAATAAGTTGAATTCGAGTTTGCCTTAATACATATTACCTAGTGATAACGTGTACCTAGTTACAAAACTAATTAATGAATTAATTTTTTGCTCAATCGCAGACATATTTCTGGTTTCATTTAATAATTTTATTAGTCAACACAAACGTTAAACATATACGTGTTATAACGTATACTATGTGATTTCCTAAATCATTACGGCTATAGTGCGGAATATAAGAAGGATTTTTAACAAGATGATGATTATAGTTAAATATTTTTAGCTATTATAGTTAGGTATTGAAAACAAATTGAAAGTTGCAGAAACACTATAGTATTGTGTGTGCATATCGAAAAGTCCCAGAAATAGATTATAATATAATATTAACTATAATACATGTCCCATGTGTTAGCAGCTGGTAATTAAAATTATTAATTAGCATTTATTTGTATGAGTGTTAAGGCAATATTTTTTCATATTTTTAATTTTAAATATTCAAAGTTAAATATCATAATGTTTGTTATAACTATCGGACTGTCAACGTTCAACACAACTTAACTTATTCAACTAACTATTTTTCAGCCACCTTCGATGTAGAGTAGTATCTCAACACTTGTTTTTTGTGTGTTAGACGTATGTCGCATAGTAATATAGTATACTTATATATATAATAATAAGACATCAGACGGTGCAAAATTTATTTTAGTGTATGAAATATAATGGCGTCGGTCGTACACTATCGTAGCAACTGCGAGTTATCGGGTCGACAGCAAATGATCATCTCTGAGATAATATTTTATCATCATTGTCTGCGAATGCGAGGACGACCTTGACGAGAACCCTAAAATTCATGGTTTAATCGAGAGTGTATTGTTTCAGTTGTCCTGATGTCAGCTTTAGAAGATTTATAATTATATACACTTTTTTTTTATAGATCGAATTAAGTACCTGTTGATTAAAATCGATTGATCAGACACAAAACGGGCTAAATATTTATTATTTGTCCAATGCTACAGGTCGAGCATCCGACTGAAAAATGCAAAAATGTATGTATAAATGTGAAAAAAGAGACGTTCCTCTGACTTAGCTTTCCATTATCACTTACCTTTTGACATCCAGGGGCGTTGAACAGCTTATTTAATTGTAATGTCTAATACTAATCTCATACTAATAATACGTACAACGTACAAGAGAATCAGTGATTTTTATAATATGCATTTACACACTGTTTGTTCTCAAGGCGACCAGCGAACGAACAATGTCCAATTATGATTTGAAAATTATTTCTCTTCAATATTTCTCTCTACACTCATTGCGGCAATGCTATACATAAAAAAAAATAATACTCAAGCCACGTGCTCTATTTTAAATTCTGCTTCTATTTTGTTGATTAAAATTCATCACCCCATAATTGTATAGTATTTTACATTTATTATTATCTTATCTCTTATAGGTGATTTGTTATACCAAATGTAACTATATGTAAAATGTATTTTTTTTTCTACTTATTTAGTTCATACTTCACACATTATTTATAATTTTACGTTCACGTTGTGTCATTAAGATAATATAACTGTCCTACAGGGCCGGATTTGATTGGTCATAAATGTAAAGAGAAAATGTAATTTGGATGTAGTTTTATTCCCAATGTCCCATCATGTCGTATTCGAAATCTTCAAGTTGTGGTTGCTGGTGTAAATCCTGTCAATATTTGATGATTAAGTAAAATTATTTTAATATTGTTAACTAAATAAGTTCTTATTTTAAGCTGATTTGATTGCATTTAAATCCGAAAAGTTAAAAGGTTATACCCATGATGAAATGTGTGTAAGACCAAGGCGTTTGGAATTTTATAAACAATAACTTTAATAATTAGCGGACATTACCCCTCGAAACCTTCGTTTGATCACCGCGAATGATCCGAACAGAAAATCTCAAAAGTTCATCGACACGTCGACTTCAAATCGTATTTTCTTCGGTGCTCGCGAGCGTTGGCGAATCGGATTATCAATTCGCACACGTCACACACATATATCTAACGACAATAATTATTATAATTATTATACACTTACGTCTTACGGCTATTCGTGCGTGGGACACATTAGAAATCGTACGGGAAGAAATTATATTGTTGAACTCGTTACACTTATTGTCACAGACGGTGTCTGTAACAATAGTTAACCAACACGACTTTTGCCGGGTAGGTGTGTTTGAAAATGGTATACTATAATAAAAACGGTCAAGAACCTCAGTCCCTCCGAGTGAACCTATCACATAACATAATATTATGACAATACGATACACGTATAAACGTGTGAACACGTGGGTAAAAACGTGTAAACACGACACACACGCGGCCACCTGTTGCGTAAAGACTTATTATTAGAGACAGGATTTTGCATTTAATGTTTCGCATTATGAATGCAGTCAATGGATTTTCAACGATCGTAAACGCGTGATCGAATAAAACATTTTTGGCATATTTTCGGTGTTAGTGCAGATTATTTTCATACAGAAATGATGCACATTTCATCTGCACGCTATACGCTTTAAATGAATTATAAGAAAAAATTATAAGAAAATTTCAAGCTAGATCGTAGACCGTTTGTGACGACCGGAATCGGATGATCCGTTTTATGATAATATATTATAATAATTATTAAATCATGGTTTAAGTGTATGTGTGTTTCTGGTCCCGTGACTTAAAATCCACCGATTGACGATAACACCTGTCTGTAAATAATATATTTAGATTTATTTAAATTAAGTTGTACATTGTATTACTATAGCACCGACATTTAACCTTATCTAAGCATATTTTATTAGCCATTCTCATCAAATCCTCAAAATGTGTATGTCTTAACAAAATCACGTCACGTCACAAATCACGTCATCAGCGTAACAATACATTTTTCCATAGGAATGTGTGTATTTAAAAGACAATTTATATATATTATAAATAATATAGGATCAAGAACAATGCTCTGAGGAACTGAACAAGTATTACAATATATAATATATATATATATAATCATCACCGTATTCCATTATTTAGTCTAACTTTCTGTGTTCAATAAGAAATAAAAAATTAAGTATAAGTGGTGTTGTACCACAACAAGAAAACTTTTTAAGGCGCACTTAATGATTAACGGGATTGAAAGCTTTTTTAAAGTCTAAAAATATGCCTCGAACCTTAAACTTGTTGTCAAGATTATTATGTATAAAATGAGATGTTTTGTTCTAAAGGATCAGTATTCGACATATTTGAGCGAAAAACATATTGATTGTTATTAGGTATTTATTTGAAATGTATATTAATTTGAAAACTGGATTAATCTTATTTTCATACATTTTTCAAAAATGTCCGTTGAAGTTAATGTGCACATCATGACAAGTGACATAACATTTTTTCCATATTGATATCAAATACCTGTACGGCTGTAGTAATACTATTATTTTGAATTTTTTAAGTGCATATTATATTAAAATTTAAAGTGCGTGAAGATCCGGTCTTGGTTTATTACACATTATATAGTAATTTATTTATTATAAAAAACACAATAGAAATCAAAGTATTATAATATTACAAAAAAAATATAACAGTGGCCGAGATAACATCGTTAATTATTACGTCTACGACGAAGTGTCAGACTCCAGCTGAACGTCGGCCATCACAAGCGACGGATTCTCCACGTACGTCTTCCAGTCCTTGAAGAACTTGGCCACCGCGGCGCCGTCCAGGATCCGGTGGTCAGCCCCCCAGGACACACCCATGACGGGCGTTCGGACCAGTTGATTTTGGTCGTCGTACCGTGCCCGGTAGTTGATCCGGCCCAACGCGCCGATGGCCACCTCGGGCGGCAGGATCATCGGCTGGAACGCGGAGCCTGCGATCGAGCCCATGTTGGACAGCGTGAACGTGCCGCCCGTAACGTCGGCTGGCGCCAGCTTGCCAGCCGCGGCCTTGGCCCTGAGTTCGGCCAGTCGGCGGGCCACGTCGACCACGGATAGCGTTTGCACGTCCTTGACGTTGGGTACGGCCAGCCCGAGAGGCGTGTCGATGGCTACGCCGATGTTGTGGGTCCCGTTGGGCCTATACGAAGTGAAATCGGGGCTGGCGGTGCTGTTGATACGCGGGTGCCGGGCCAACGCCAGTGAGGTGGCCTTCAAGAGGAACGGCAATAGCGTCAGCTTGATGTGTGGTGCTAGCTGTGCCTTCAGTTCCATCAACCGCGTTAGGTTTACCTCGTCCGTGATGACCAACGTCGGTATCTTGTTGGACGCCTCCATCGTGTTCCGCATGGTCTTTGCGTAACCGGTGAGCGGCACGAAATCCTGCAGCGGCGGCGGCGGCGGCGGCCGGCTGCTGACTGCTGCTTTGACAGGGTCGGGGGTGGGGGCTGACCACTGGTCGGCGAGCCCGAGTAGGTCCTCTTTGAGCACCCGACCGTCTTTGCCGGTACCTCGGACCGCGGTCAGATCGATGCCCTTTTCGGCGGCGATCCTGCGCACCGCGGGAGTGGTCAGCACCTGTGCTGATACGCCTGCTCCGGCGGTGTCCCCGGCCGCGGGCTCACCAGAAGACTCGGCGATGACTTTCTCCCCATCTGCAACTACTTCCCCTCCCGTCGCCACTTGCTCTGCGGCCGCCGTCTCGCCGTCCTCGTTCACCTCGATGTCCACCAGGGCGCTGCCCACCCGGGCCATGGCGCCCGTCTCGTAGTGTAGCTTGGTCACGGTGCCCGAGTACCGACTAGTTATGGTCACGGTCGCCTTGTCGCTCTCCACCTCACACACATCGTCGAATTCGGATACCACATCACCCACGTTCACGTACCACTCCTTGACGGTCACCTCGCTGATGCCCTCTCCGATGTCGGCCAACACGAACGGTACGATTTTTTTGTCGGCGCGGGTACTATAGCCGGCGGTTGCGGAGAAGTCGGTGGCTTTGCAGGGGCCGCAGCTGAGGTGCACGAACGACCGCCTCGGTCTGGGCGCCAGCGGACGGCGCGTAGACCCGACCACGCATTTCCGGTCGTCGGTGGACCGATGACGGACGCCGGCCACGAGGATCCTGCAACGCGGTGTGGCCGCGGCGACGGCGGTGCGTCTCGCCGTCAACACGCCGGCCGGGAACATGGTCGCCAATCAGCCGCTGTTTGCACGCCGTACGCGGAAGACGAAATATGATTTAATTTTATGCGGCTGCGTATTATCGATATGGTGACTATACGGTGTTCGAGTGCAGTACACGTTGCCGTTGTTTACACGCAGACGCATCACCGACCGCGGTATAGACTGATTACCATCGGATTCCGCGAGTCCGGGCCGATGCGTGCGCGCATGTTAATCAGCTGAACTCAAGGTCAAAAAACGAACGCACGCGAGTGTAGGTATAACGACCGCCGTCCGATACGTTGCAGTGCTTTTTAAAATGCGATAACGCGCTTGTTGCAGGTGTCTATCGGTTTGGTGGGCACCTGTATATGGCTACACGTATATTGTATTGGACGTGTACGCTCTGTAGTGCGCATCAGACACGTACAACAGGTACCTATTATAACAGTAAAAACGTCATTTACGCGACTAGACAGTAAAATACTAAAATATACACAACATAAAAACCGAACGTCTATTACTATTGTGTGACTTACATCATAATGCCGTGTATAATATAAATTATTATACAGTAAACAATCGCTGTCGTGTCACAACGCCGTCCGCAGAGGAACAGACTGAGTTCTGGACATCGAAAAATTCGAAATTTCGTGTTTTATCGTAGATCAAATTATAATTGTAATCATAATTAGATACCCACGTATAATAACGGTAGTAGCTTCGAGGGTATTTCAATTATTTCGAGATAACGACGACGTTCAACGTAATAAGAACCTACTGTGTACCTATATATAAATATAGGCATATCGGCATAGGAGTTCGCACACCTTGCTGATAAGATTTGAGGGGGGGGGGAGAAGTATTTTGGATAACGATACGTTATTTATATTTTTAAAGATAATGTAAATTTATTGATATCAGTCACGGATAGAAACATAGTATGCCTTATACTTGCAATTTACACAGGACCTAGCTATTATATTTTGAGAAAAAAAATTTGCCCACTCCAGGAGCTCCCTGCATGTGATCACGCTTTTGGGCATATGATGACTTGTGTACAGTTATAACGAAATGTAACAGGGACTATGTAATATATATATTATAGTTTTAAATTTGTTCGTTTAACTTGTAAAATTAATAACCAATAAAATATAAATAATAACACCTAACAATAACAACATTTCAAGACAGATAAAAATGAAATTTCTACACACGTTTAACATGTCCAACAAGTATAATGTATATGATTTTACTGATTTTAGTACTCTTGTTTCATTCAATATGATTTATGTGTATAATTACTATACATTAAAACTGATATTTATTTCCAATATTACATTTTGTTTCCACCTTAAGACACCTTGATCCAATTTCAATAGGTTCCTATATAGTGTAGGTTCACATGATAAACGTTGATGATAAGTTTATTACTGATGAAATATTAATGTAAAAAAAATAAAAGGTAATAAAGTTTTATCAGTAAAAATGTTATCTCTGTCTCACACACGTAGAGTATGGTACAAATCTCGGATCGTGATTACATATTTGAAATGAACATATTTTCATACAATACGTACAATAACAATGATTAAAGAGATTAATAATATCACCTATCTGTGTTTTGTCAGTAGCTTTTATTAATATTTTTGTTACTTGTTTAGAATTTTTACTTTTTTAAAAATATTTTAAAAAGCTCCCGCAAAGATTGATATGTTATTCATATTACTCGTACAATGAATTGTTTTAATTTCTGTAATTATTTCATAAGTGGTCAATGTTTTCAAAATTATTGATGAATTACCTACTTTGAGAGTTTCAAACTATACATTACAGGTAGGTATGAAAAAAATTGAGAAAACGGCGTACGTTGAATGTTGATGTAGTTCTATTATACAGCGTCCGTCGTCCCCGATAAGATACACATTGACATCGAGCGTTGGATGGACAGCAATGGAAATGAGGTGCTATAAAAGTACAACGCATGGAACATCAAAAATATTAAGTTTGTAGTTTTTAGTGGTTTTACGTTGAACTTTGTTTTTAAACATATTATGGTAATAAACATTAAACAATGACTCAATTATCTAAATCTAATCTTCAACATTATGATAATATAGGATAGTGTTATTACTTATTACTTATTACTCAGCCACTCAGGTACTAAGTTAGGTAAATATTATATTATAATTTTTTTTGTTCATTTTGGTAACCATATTATTGTAGGTATTAGAGATTTGAAGCCATCGAAGGTGGGTAGAAAATGAGGATTGAATATCCATTGAAAAAATTGCCACCTCAAAAATGATGTGATTAAAATTACCTCACTGATGTTGGAGATATTCCGGGACTTTCGAAATAAATACCTAGTTTAGTTATAATACCGATATGCAGTTATAACTGATTCCGCTATAAACGATGTACGCTGAAATGTTTGTTTTCTTTGTTTCTGGTGTTTATTTTGTAGATCAGATTTTGCATTAGCTATATCATATCCACTGTCAAAATATATAACGAAATGCCTGACCGTGCCTCATATTTATATACTGTATATAACAGGGATGGCAAATCCATGGCACGCGAAAATATTTTGTGGGCACCTGAACATTTTAATTATTATATATTATATAATATTATAGGAATTATAATAACCTGAACTAACCTTTTTATACTAATACATTAATTATACAACAAATTATAGTATAACAAAATATAATATTTTTAATATTTTTTTCATGGCACGCTCTAACAAAAAAAAAAGGTAATTTTGGGCACGCAGTATTCAAAAGGTTCGCCATTCCTGGTATATAATATACAATATCCGTGTATCATATTTATTATTATTATTATATCGTACAAGACGCATTATATATTTTTGAATTGTTCATTCTACATTTTATATAATAACGTAATAAACCAGTTTTAGTTCGTCGGCCGCTAATGTTATTACGAATATAGGACATAATATAATTGTATTATATATATTTATATAGGTAGAAGTGCGTCCCCATTTAGAAGCTATTTGCATGCGCCCGACGTCGGCAAAGTTCACGGCGTCTAGATACACCTATTACATACCTACAGGGTGATTCTCGGCAAGCGTTTTCACCCCCATTTTTCGGTAATGCAGCTTTTCAAAATCTGATTTTTGGAATTTTTAAATATACCAAAAGGCTATGTTTTCAAATTCTTGAGAATTTTTGTACTTTTGTAATTAGCGTGTCTTTTGTGCATACAAACTTTTGTTTTTTAAATGAAAATACGCCCCTTCTGTGCTGAAAATTATTGAGCTGATTGTTTTTCTGAAAATTATGACGTATTAAAATCAACATTTGAAAGATTAGTGGTCGAGTCATTTCACTATGTGTACTAAGCCATTAAGGATAGTATGTTCATGGTAATGGGTTTGAAAGATTTGAGGGCTATGGTGAATTGAAATATTTCTTAATATTTGAAAGACAACTCGTTATAATTAGGTATATTAAAATTTAAAAAAAAACATACGTTTAAAGTAAAAATAAGGATTCTCATTTGAAAAATTTAAGTTTGTATCGTCGTTGTAGGAGTGTCCTTATAGTAGCATAAAAAATCTCATTAATTTGGAAATATAGTCTTAAGATGACGCCACACCTGCAGCATGTGTTGGTTTTTTGCGATAGTTCAATTTTTTAGCAAGTTATAAGTAGATTATAATACATCCTAAATTAAAAATGCCCATAACTCACTTAAAAACTGAACTATTGTAAAAAACCAACATAGGAACACCGATAATATTCTTACCATCAAGTTTCATAATGGGTTGATTCAATCTAATTTTTTAACTAATGGATCTGCTGAGCGTAAATTTGTATTGTTATACGCACTTGTAAGACGGAGACAACACACGCAGGAGTGGCGTCCTCTTAAATTGTATTTAAAAATCATTAGATTGGAAAGGAAAAAACGGTGGTGACCATACTCGGTAAATCACCCTGTATAAGGCAATAATTCGATATCATAACGACGAATGATATGTGCGTTGAATAGATGTACCTACATATAAACAACCGCTGTGAAACGCTGAGCACTCGAAACACGATAGTAATTATATTACTGTTCCAAAATCAAACCTCAAAATAAGAAGAAATTTATTCAGTGTGAATGTCATAAATTTCTCTTGTTTATTTTTTTCCTTTCAACTCGGATGACTATGCCACATTAGTGTGCACAACGTTAATAATACACAACTCAGTTACAACACAACGGAAATATTGTTGCAGTAAAAGCTTGCTATACACGAATACCATTTAATTTTTCAGGGGTGGGGAGGGGAAGTTCATCAGGAATGGAATTAAGAAGGCAGGCTATGCGAATATTAGAGGGTAAAGGTTTAAAACTTGTTTCGTGTGCAATCATTTGCAGTAATGACTTGCAAGTTCGGTAACGGTATTGGTTTTTAAAATTCAAAACTACACGTTTGATTTTCCATCACATCACTGCAGTTGCCTGAAACGTCATAGATGTATATAAATTAACAATAATTATTTTATTCCACTTGTGTAGTTACCTATAGCTAAAAAAAAATGTTCGTGTTAAATAATTAAGTCAAATATATGATCGTCTGTTTTAATTAATTAGTACAGTTAAGTAGTAACCATGATGACGTCTGGTAAAAAAGGTAGGTGGAAAAATCTATTTATTATGTTGTTTTAAAACTATCTACATGTACTGGTGGAATCGATGAGAAGCCCCGAAAAACACTTACACTCAAAGATATCACATAAACGAGTTAAACAGTTGATATATTTTCAGCAAATATTCATTGATTTTTTTGATTTTTCTAGCTGTTACTTTATATTATTAAGTAATTTTGGGTAAACATTTTTTATGACCGTTTTAAAGCTTAAATTCCGGAAAAATGAATTATTCATTAAATATTTAAGTTTTCAGTTCCAACACCTTAAATATATTTCTAAGTGGTTAATCATATATTGTATTTCTTTTGATCTAAATTCTATAAAAAAAATTGTACAAATTGTAAAATGTTGAGTAGGTAAGTATATAAACACGTATACAAAGTTGTTATAATTCTAACATAATTGTTTTCGCAATTTTATAGATGGTCATTGCTCTTAAATTTGAAGACACTCGACTCAGCTAGTGACCCACTCAAGCACTTAAATAATATATTATTTGTAATCGTATTTTTTAACCATTACATGAGCGTATT